CAAGGTTTTTTTTTTGTACTCCACTCAACAATCCCAGCGATGTAAATACAAAGTGACCTCTCGCTTGGTTAAATTTTTGCCGTAACGGTAGGCCCTAGGATGGGATATCGGCCATCGAACAAAGACGGCTACCGCATCGAGCGAGGGAACTGCAAGGACCTGGGAATGGAACTCTGGACTGGCATGGGGCGGGTGCCATACAGCCGTGCGGGCGTGTTGTTGGAAAACACAAAACATTTTCACCGCTGCCCTGATGCACCTTTCCATGTATGATCAGGAATTTACGACTGACACTCGACACGTCCAGGTGCGGCCTTTTTTGGTGTCAACCAAGGAAGGTGATCTTGCGGCCAAGCTTGGTCAACTCTGTATTTTGTTCGGGGTGAGCACACACCTGTCAACCCCTCATCAGTGCCGACATTATTACAGACCAATTCAGACCTTATTGGTAACCCCGTGCCCCTTATAAATCTCAACGTTTATCCTACAAAGTCCCATTACAAGGGAGAAACTCAAACAAATAGACAAAATAAATGTTTGCCCGTATTGTAACGGCTATACGCCATACGGACCTGAAAACTCAATTTCCCCGTACAAGAATACGGGGTAAACCGCATGGGTTGACGGGTATGCAAGCTTGGTCAACTCCGTATTTCGTTCGGGGTGAGCCCCGGGAAGACCATGTGGGTGGACGCTCGGCAAGATGGAAGAGGGAGAGACCTCCGGGTCCCCGCCACGTGGAGGCTATCGCTGCTGCTGGCAGGAGGGGGAGCAGGAGGTCACGGGGCAGACACAGCAGTTACGGGTTGACTCCAAACTGCTTCCGTTGCCCTCTCAAGACAACCCCCATCTTTTCTACCCTAGCCAAACCAGTTACTGATACTCCCTGCCCCAGCCTCCCAGCCACGACAAGGCCTACCGCAACACGTATCATTACCCCAACACCTATCACACCTCAACGCCTATCCCTTTAACTACCCCGACTCCTCCCTATCTCGGTCAAGACCAGGTCTACCCAAACCCCCAATGACCACCCCAACCCCTATCACCATCACCTCAACCCCTATCACTCCCCCTGCCCCAGCCATAACCAGGACTAGCCCAACCCCTATCATTACCCCGACCCCTATCATTACCATCACCTCAACCTCCATCCCCATCGCTACCTAAACTGCCATTGCCTCCGCCAGCCACAACCAGGCCTAAACCCCAACCTCTATCACTTCCCCAATCCCTGCTTAACCACTCCCGCTTGTTCTCCCATCACCGTAACTACACCACCACGTTTAAATACATATCCCCACTCTTTTTAATTCAACCGCTATCATCTCATGTACGATGTTATGATTGCTGTACAACGCATTTGGGGCCGTCCATAAATTACGTCACGCACCTGGGGGAGGGGAGGTGTGTCAGACATTTGTGACGATTTGTGACGAGGGGGGGGGCGTGGTTTGATAAATGTGACGTCACATCAAATTGTGCAACATTAAATAAATATAGATAACACGTTCTACTTAAATTTTGATTTAAACCTTTCGTGACTGCGGTAATTCATATTCTTAGCTCTTTCGGTAAAGTCACGTTGAAGGGAAACAATAAAATAATAAAATATATATGAAACAATAAAAATTCTCACGACGTTTCGACCATAACACAAACGGTCGTCATCAGGTGTGTCGGTTTGCATAAATTTATTTATTTTTAAACGGTGTATTTATTTATTAAAAACGTCGGCGCCACGCGCAGCGATTTGGCAGTTTATTTAGAAGGACTAGTCCATCTATGTTCTGAAAAGAGGAGGGGGGAGACGAAAAATTAATGTATGCTGTCTGAAAGCCACTGTAAGCGTGAACAATCAATTAAGACTTGAAATGGTTTATCAAATCTTTCCAATGATTGCTAAGCCAGAATCCATCTTCTCGGTTGAAATTGTCTCTGTGCTTGTATATGTGGATAGCCTCATGAACGAATCTCTCATGGTAGCCAGATGGCTTACAAAGAACCTCTGTCTTGGAACAGTCAATGTCATGTGAGCCTACTGAATTATAACAATGATCTGCCACGGCCGAGGTGTTGGTCCTACCGTGTTTAAGGTCTGCTTTGTGTTCACGAATGCGGTCCGAGACATGGCGTTTGGTTTCTCCAATGTAACTACTACCACAGAGGCAACTTGTTTGTAGACACCAGGGTACTGTATGTCCGGAATCACATCTTTTACAGATGGAACCAGATCACGGATTTTATGTAATGTGTTGAAACGGACCTGGATCTTGTGTTTATTCAAGATTTTGGAGGTCTTTTTTGTGATCCCCGCAATGTATGGTAAAGTGATGGTTTTGAAAGGCTCCTCAAGAGGGTCCTTCTTCATGGTTTGAGTGATAGCTTTGCGGATTGTATAGTCGGAGTATCCATTAGCCTTAAGAGCTTGGTGTACGTGCTTGAGTTCACTGCCTATGTGTTCCTGGTCGGATATGCATTGGGCTCTATGATACAGAGTCTTGATGAGAAAATTCTTCTGTGATGGATGGTGGTGGGAATCCGGTTTCAGATAAGCATCCGTATGGGTAGCTTTCCTGTAGACAGAGTGGCTCATTGAACCATCAGGTCTCTTTTTAATTAGGACATCCAAATAAATAAATTTATGCAAACCGACACACCTGATGACGACCGTTTGTGTTATGGTCGAAACGTCGTGAGGATTTTTATTGTTTTATATATATTATTATTTTATTGTTTCCCTTCAACGTGACTTTACCGAAATAGCTAAGAATACGTTCTACTTAATTAAATATAGATTTGAAGCTTTCGTGACTGCAAGGATCCAAACTCTTTGGTTCTATTCGGTAAAGTCACGTAGGTAAAAAATAAAACAAAAATCACGACGTAATTAAGGTGTCAAGGCACATTAATTACTCTCACACAGCTTAAAGGTCGCGGTCTGAGCTTGGCTGTGTTTCACTCCAGCGCTGTCCTCGAGACAGTCTGGTCCCTTCACCTGATGAAGGCCGCTTGTGTTGTGGCCGAAACGTCGTGATTTTTGTTGTTTTATTTTTTACCTACGTGACTTTACCGAATAGAACCAAAGGGTATAATTAAATATACTTTTTAATGTTTTCTCCTACAACATCAGAGTGCAGCGGCACATTAAATACGCACTACAATGACAATAGTGTAAAGCGATTTGAAGCATGTTTTATATTTTTTTGAGGGGGGGGGGGCAGAGATTTGTGACGTCATATTTGAGGGGGGGGGGGTTGACTTTTTGTGACGCCGTGTGACGAAGGGGGGGGGGGGGGCCAAAAATCGTTCAAAATTGCGTGACGTCATGTATGGACGGCCCCTTGGCACACGAGGGGGTGTGAGTGGGAGGGAGCGGGTGAGAGTGAGGTGAGGGGGTGAGTGAGGAGGGTGAGAGTGAGGTGAGGGAGTGAGTGTAAGGGGGTGAGCAAGGGGGGGTGAGCAAGGGGGGGTGAGGGAGGGGGTGAGCAAGGGGGGTGAGTGTGAGAGAGTGAGCGAGGTGGGTGAGGGAGGGGGTGAGCGAGGGAGGGTGAGAGGAGTGAGGGGGTGAGTGTGAGGGGGGGTGAGCAAGGGGGGTGAGTGAGAGGGGGTGAGTGAGAGGGGGTGAGTGAGAGGGGGTGAGTGTGAGGGGTGAGTGTGAGGGTTGAGTGAGAGGGGGTGAGTGAGAGGGGTGAGTAAGAGGGTGAGTGAGAGGGTGAGTGAAAGGGGGTGAGTGTGAGGGGTGAGTGAGAGGGTGAGTGTGAGGGGGTGAGTGTGAGGGGGTGAGTGAGAGGGTGAGTGAGAGGGGGTGAGTGTGAGGGGTGAGTGTGAGGGTTGAGTGAGAGGGGGTGAGTGAGAGGGGTGAGTAAGAGGGTGAGTGAGAGGGTGAGTGAAAAGGGGTGAGTGTGAGGGGTGAGTGAGAGGGTGAGTGTGAGGCGTGAGTGGGAGGGGTGAGTGTGAGGGGTGAGTGAGGGGGTGAGTGAGAGGGGTGAGTGTGAGGGGTGAGTAAGAGGGTGAGTGAGAGGGTGAGTGAAAGGGGGTGAGTGTGAGGGGGTGAGTGAGAGAGTGAGCGTGAGGGGGTGAGTGAGAGGGGTGAGTGTGAGGGGGTGAATGTGAGGGGGTGAGTAAGAGGGTGAGTGAGGGGGGTGAGTGTGAGGGGGTGAGTGAGAGGGGTGAGTGAGAGCGGTAAGAGGGTGAGTGTGAGGGGTGAGTGAGAGGAGTGAGTGAGGGGGGGGGTGAGTGTGAGAGGGTGAGTTTGAGAGGGTGAATGTGAGGGGGTGAGTGAGACGGTGAGGGGGTGAGTGAGAGGGGTGAGTGAGAGGGGTGAGTGTGAGGGGTGAGTGAGAGAGGGTGAGTGAGAGGGGGTGAGTGTGAGGGGGTGAGCGTGAGGGGTGAGTGAGAGGGGTGAGTGAGAGAGGGTGAATGTGAGGGGGTGAGTGAGAGGGGTAAGGGGGTGAGTGAGAGGGGTGAGTGAGAGGGGTGAGTGAGAGGGGTGATTAAGAGGGTGAGTGAGGGGGGTGAGTGAGAGGGGGTGAGTGTGAGGGGGTGAGTGTGAGGGAGAGAGGCTGAGTGAGAGGGGTGAGTGAGAGGGGTGAGCGTGAGGGGTGAGTGAGAGAGGGTGAGTGAGAGAGGGTGAATGTGAGGGGGTGAGTGAGAGAGGGTGAGTGAGAGGGGTGAGTGAGAGAGGGTGAATGTGAGGGGATGAGTGAGAGGGTGAGGGGGTGAGTGAGAGGGGTGATTGTGAGGGGTGAGTGAGAGGGGTGAGTAAGAGGGTGAGTGAGGGGGATGAGTGAGAGGGGGTGAGTGTGAGGGGGTGAGTGTGAGGGAGAGAGGCTGAGTGTGAGGGGTGAGCGTGAGGGGTGAGTGAGAGAGGGTGAGCGTGAGGGGGGTGAGTGAGCAGTGAGGGAGGGGTTAGAGGGTGAGCTATGGGGCGGAGACAGTGAGAGAGGAAGTGAGGGGAGGGGTGAGGGGAGGGGTCAGGTGAGGGTTTGGATACGGAACTGAGGACCCAGCTCGAAGCGGCGGGGAGTGTACGGTGTGTCTACAGTGAGTGTACAGGGGTGAGTGTGTGTACAGTGTGTGTACAGTGAGTGTACAGGGGTGAGTGTACAGGGGTGAGTGTACAGGGTTGAGTGTACAGGGGTGAGTGTGTGTACAGTGAGTGTACAGGGGTGAGTGTGTGTACAGTGTGTGTACAGGGGTGAGTGTGTGTACAGTGAGTGTACAGGGGTGCGTGTGTGTACAGGGGTGAGTGTGTGTACAGTGAGTGTACAGGGGTGAGTGTGTGTACAGGGGTGAGTGTGTGTACAGTGAGTGTACAGGGGTGAGTATGTGTACAGTGAGTGTACAGGGGTGAGTGTGTGTACAGTGAGTGTACAGGGGTGCGTGTGTGTACAGGGGTGAGTTTGTGTACAGTGAGTGTACAGGGGTGAGTGTGTGTACAGGGGTGAGTGTGTGTACAGTGAGTGTACAGGGGTGAGTATGTGTACAGTGAGTGTACAGGGGTGAGTGTGTGTACAGTGAGTGTACAGGGGTGAGTGTGTGTACAGGGGTGAGTGTGTGTACAGTGCGTGTACAGAGGTGAGTGTGTGTACAGTGAGCGTACAGGGGTGAGTGTGTACAGTGAGTGTACAGGGGTGAGTGTGTGTACAGTGAGTGTACAGGGGTGAGTGTGTGTACAGGGGTGAGTGTGTGTACAGTGAGTGTACAGGGGTGAGTGTGTGTACAGGGGTGAGTGTGTACAGTGAGTGTACAGGGGTGAGTGTGTGTACAGTGTGTGTACAGGGGTGAGTGTGTGTGTACAGGGGTGAGTGTGTGTACAGTGAGTGTACAGGGGTGAGTGTGCGTGTACAGGGGTGAGTGTGTGTACAGTGAGTGTACAGGGGTGAGTGTGTGTGTACAGGGGTGAGTGTGTGTACAGTGTGTGTACAGGGGTGAGTGTGTGTACAGTGAGTGTACAGGGGTGAGTGTGTGTACAGTGAGTGTACAGGGGTGAGTGTGTGTACAGTGAGTGTACAGGGGTGAGTGTGTGTACAGTGTGTGTACAGAGGTGAGTGTGTGTACAGTGAGCGTACAGGGATGAGTGTGTACAGTGAGTGTACAGGGGTGAGTGTGTGTACAGTGCGTGTACAGGGGTGAGTGTGTGTACAGGGGTGAGTGTGTGTACAGTGAGTGTACAGGGGTGAGTGTGTGTACAGGGGTGAGTGTGTGTACAGTGAGTGTACAGGGGTGAGTGTGTGTACAGGGGTGAGTGTGTGTACAGTGTGTGTACAGGGGTGAGTGTGTGTACAGTGAGTGTACAGGGGTGAGTGTGTGTACAGTGAGTGTACAGGGGTGAGTGTGTGTACAGGGGTGAGTGTGTGTACAGTGAGTGTACAGGGGTGAGTGAGTGTACAGGGGTGAGTGTGTGTACAGTGAGTGTACAGGGGTGAGTGTGTGTACAGGGGTGAGTGTGTGTAAAGTGTGTGTACAGGGGTGAGTGTGTGTACAGTGAGTGTACAGGGGTGAGTGTGTGTACAGGGGTGAGTGTGTGTACAGTGTGTGTACAGGGGTGAGTGTGTGTACAGTGAGTGCACAGGGGTGAGTGAGTGTACAAGGGTGAGTGTGTGTACAGTGAGTGTACAGGGGTGAGTGAGTGTACAGGGGTGAGTGTGTGTACAGGGGTGAGTGTGTGTACAGTGAGTGTACAGGGGTGTGTGTACAGGGTGAGTGTGTGTACAGTGAGTGTACAGGGGTGAGTGAGTGTACAGGGGTGAGTGTGTGTACAGGGGTGAGTGTGTGTACAGGGGTGAGTGTGTGTACAGTGAGTGTACAGGGGTGAGTGTGTGTACAGGGTGAGTGTGTGTACAGTGAGTGTACAGGGTGAGTGTGTGTACAGTGAGTGTACAGGGGTGAGTGTGTGTACAGGGGTGAGTGTGTGTACAGTGAGTGTACAGGGGTGAGTGTGTGTACAGGGTGAGTGTGTGTACAGTGAGTGTACAGGGTGAGTGTGTGTACAGTGAGTGTACAGGGGTGAGTGAGTGTACAAGGGTGAGTGTGTGTACAGTGTGTGTACAGGGGTGAGTGTGTGTACGGGGTGAGTGTGTGTACAGGGATGAGTGTGTGTACAGTGAGTGTACAGGGTGAGTGTGTGTACAGTGAGTGTACAGGGGTGAGTGTGTGTACAGGGGTGAGTGTGTGTACAGTGAGTGTACAGGGGTGAGTGTGTGTACAGGGTGAGTGTGTGTACAGTGAGTGTACAGGGGTGAGTGTGTACAGTGTGTGTACAGGGTGAGTGTGTGTACAGTGAGTGTACAGGGGTGAGTGTGTGTACAGTGTGTGTACAGTGTGTATAGTGTGTGTACAGGGGTTAGTGTGTGTACAAGGGTGTGTTTGCGAGGGTGAGTGTGCGAGGTTGTTTACAAGAGTGTGTGTGTGTGTACAAGAGTGTGTGTGTGTACAAGAGTGTGTGTACATGAGTGTGTGTGTACAAGAGTGTGTGTGTACAAGAGTGTGTGTGTACTTGAGTGTGTGTGTACATGAGTGTGTGCGTGTACAAGAGTGTGTGTGTGTATACAAGAGTGTGTGTGTATACAAGAGTGTGTGTGTACATGAGTGTGTGTGTACATGAGTGTGTGTGTGTATACAAGAGTGTGTGTGTACATGAGTGTGTGTGTGTATATACAAGAGTGTGTGTGTACATGAGTGTGTGTGTGTACATGAGTGTGTGTGTACATGAGTGTGTGTGTACAAGAGTGTGTGTGTATGTGTTGGAGACGCTGCTGCTGAGACATCTATTTTGACCACGTAGTTCGTGAAGCCTTCAATAACTGTACCGGGGGAAACTCCATTTGGTAAAGATTTAATGGGAGGCTGATCGATGCCCGGGTGCGGTCAAGGGATGGCTCCCTATTGCTCAACCACGTTATGTATGCCGATGATTTGGTAATAGCTGCTCATTCAGAGGAGGAGTTGGAGACGCTGCTGCTGAGACTGGAGCGTGCCACTAAGAGATGAGGCCTTACCATCAGCCCCACCAAAACTAAGCACCTGCCTGGGTATTTTGTACCATCGGACACTCCACCCCCACAACTCCCAATCGGTGATGGGGCAGTTGTGGAGAGAGTGGAGAGTTTCCCATACCTGGCCAGTGTGCTTATGACCGGCTCCGGTTTAACAGCAGAGGTCTCACTCCGCATCAGTTGAGCGGCAATATATTTTCATCGGTTGCGTAACGCTGTGTGGAAGCTACCTGGTCTGTCGCTCCGCACGAAGCTTCAGGTCTTCTCGGCCACGGTCATTCCCTCCCTTCTCTACGCTTGCGAAACGTGGACCCCCCTAATGGAACATCTTCGCCGGTTAGAAACATTTAGGCTAGCCTGCCTAGGATCCATCCTGGGTTTAACCAGGCTGGATTGTGTGAGGAGCTCACAAATCTTTGAAAGATCTGGGCAAGGTCCCATCGGTGAGCTCCTCTGGCAGGCAAGGCTGCGTTGGCTGGGTCATGTAGCCTGCATGCCCAGCCACCGCAGGCCAAAACAGCTTTTGTTCGGCCGGATCGAGGGGGCTAAACGGGTGCGGCACGGGATAGAAAAGAGATGGAGTGATGTGGTACAGGAGGACGTGGAGCTGAGTGGACTTGCCGATGACTGGTACCAGCGGTGTCAAGATCGGCCTTTGTGGAGGAGGCTCGTGAAGGACGCTACTGGGCAATTGGAGGCAGTCGCCCTCCAACAACAACGGAGGGTGGAGGAGCGACGCTCACAACAACGAGCGGAGCGCCGGGTGGCTAAAGCACAGCAAGTTGGCACAGTAGGGGGCACAGGTGGTGCATCAGCCAGTCATCTCAGTCATTCGACCTGTGGCACCTGGGTCTGCCCCATGACCTCCTGCCAGTGGGCGTTCGACACTTCACGTGGCCTCAAGGTGCACATAGCCTGGCACAAGCGTCGTGGTGACGTCACCGCCACTTAGTGGTGAATGGCGGTTGTTGTTGTGTACAAGTGTGTGTGTGTACAAGTGTGTGTGCAAATGTGTGTGTACAAGTGTGTGTGTGTGTACAAGTGTGTGTGTGTGTGTACAAGTGTGTGTGTACAACCTGACTACCCGAGTTCGATTCCTGCACGCGGCCAACGCCAGTGACGATTATTTGAACTGTGTCTGCCTCCCCTATGCCATGCATCAACATCGTCACTGGGGAGACAAAGGCGCTCGCTAACCACACTTTCCCCAGCAGCCTGTGAAGGCCACTTGGGGGATCTTTGTCTTTATTTGTTTACGCATCTGTATCTAAACCGAGGTTAATGTGGTCTCTGTGTGAACAGGTAGCTGGAGTCCCATCAACTCACCACACTTGTGAACCTGGTAAATCAAAACTCAGTGTATATGAGTCTGTGTTTCTGTGTGTAAGTCTGTGGGTCTTTGTGCGAGTCTGTGGGTTCTCCATGTGAGTCTATGGGTCTATGTGTGAGTCTGTGGGTCTCCATGTGAGTCTATGGGTCTATGTGTGAGTCTGTGGGTCTCCATGTGAGTCCATGGGTCTATGTGTGAGTCTGTGGGTCTCCGTGTGAGTCTATGGGTCTATGTGTGAGTCTGTGGGTCTCTGTGTGAGTCTCTGGGTCTGTGTGAGTCTATGGGTCTGTGTGTGAGTCTATGGGTCTTCGTGTGAGTCTATCGGTCTGTGTGTGAGTCTATGGGTCTCCATTTGAGTCTATGGGTCTCTGTGTGAGTCTATGGGTCTGTGTGTGAGTCTATGGGTCTGTGTGTGAGTCTATGTGTCTCTGTGTGAGTCTATGGGTCTGTTTGTGAATCTATGGGTCTCCGTGTGAGTCTATGGGCCTGTATGTGAGTCTATGGGTCTGTGTGTGAGTCTGTGGGTCTCTGTGTGAATCTATTAGACCCACTGTGGTTGGGGCTGAAACCCGGTTTGGAACCCAGGATCTCAACTGTGACAGCTCAACGTCTCTGACACGGCCATTATGAACACCTAAGAGAGAGAGAGAGAGACACCCCGAGTCAGGGCTCGAACCGAGGTTCTCAGCAGCGTTTCACTCGGGGGTGCCTGAGCTCTGAGCCCGTTGGCCACTTATCACTCCACGCGGTTAATTTCCGCGAAATGACGGAACTGACATCAGCTGGGAATGGGAAGTGTTTCTTTATACAAACGCAGTGCTGCAACACAACTGTCTGCCAATCACTCAGCTGGGATCAGCAACATCGCCCCCTGGGTAGTAGCAGCAGGAACATCGCCCCCTGGGTAGTAGCAGCAGCAACATCGCCCCCAGGGTAGCAGTAGCAGCAACATCGTCCCCTGGGTAGTAGCAGCAGCAACATCGTCCCCCTGGGTAGCAGCAGCAGTAGCAGCAACATCGTCCCCTGGGTAGTAGCAGCAGCAACATCGCCCCCTGGGTAGTAGCAGCAGCAACATCGCCCCCAGGGTAGCAGTAGCAGCAACATCGTCCCCTGGGTAGTAGCAGCAGCAACATCGTCCCCCTGGGTAGCAGCAGCAGCTACATCGCCCCCTGGGTAGTAGCAGCACAAACATCGTCCCCCTGGGTAGCAGTAGCAGCAACATCGTCCCCTGGGTAGTAGCAGCAGCAACATCGTCCCCTGGGTAGTAGCAGCAGCAGCAACATCGCCCCCTGGGTAGTAGCAGCAGCAACATCGTCCCCTGGGTAGTAGCAGCAGCAACATCGCCCCCTGGGTAGTAGCAACAGCACATCGCCCCCTGGGTAGTAGCAACAGCAACATCGCCCCCTGGGTAGTAGCAACATCAACATCGCCCCCTGGGTAGTAGCAGCAGCAACATCGTCACTCTGGGTAGTAGCAGCAGCAACATCGCCCCCAGGGTAGCAGTAGCAGCAACATCGCCCCCTGGGTAGTAGCAGCAGCAACATCGTCCCCCTGGGTAGCAGCAGCAGCAATGTTGCCCCCTGGGTAGTAGCAGCAGCAACATCGTCCCCCTGGGTAGCAGCAGCAGTAGCAGCAACATCGTCCTCTGGGTAGTAGCAGCAGCAACATCGCCCCCTGGGTAGTAGCAGCAGCAGCAACATCGCCCCCTGGGTAGTAGCAGCAGCAACATCGCCCCCTGGGTAGTAGCAACAGCAACATCGCCCCCTGGGTAGTAGCAGCAGCAATGTTGCCCCCTGGGTAGTAGCAGCAGCAACATCGCCCCCTGGGTAGTAGCAGCAGCAGCAGCAAAAACATTTTTGGATACTGCCAAAAAGGTCCCATAGAAACAGTGACCACATTTGTTCACCACGTGGAGACTTTTCTTCATCGGCCAATTTGTACTCCTGTTGTAAATGTTGTTGTGGGTTTGCTCTCTAACACCCAACCGGTTAGTGCTGAACTAGTAACGAATTGGCATATTTTGTTTACGTGACAAACTTTACTAATTGGCTGTGTCGGGTGGTGGCGGGTTTAACGACACATTTATATTTACGTGATTTGATCTGACCCAAAAAAAAAACACCCCCTCTTATGGACAACATCTGTCGCGGAAGTCTGCGAGTTGAACGCTTTTCTCTCGCTCAGGTGATCTGACCCCCAAAAAATCCAAATCTGATTATGAATCGTGATACTAAATGATTGTGATACCTATGTTGCTGCTGCTGCTGCGACACTAGCCCAGGGAGGGGCAGGGGGGAGATTGGGCAACCTACGGGTCCGGAGCCACATGCACCCTCCCTAAGGACTTGATCCGTGACGTTATTTGTTGAGGACCGCCATCTCGTAACCACCACCGCAGTGCATTGCGGCTCCTGGAACTTTGGGAGTTTTCGTTGTTTCCACCGAATTCAGAAAAATAATGCCACCTCTTGTTACTCTGTTTGCCGAGCCCTGCCACCAGCTGGTGCTGTCGCCTGCGCCGGGGGTGCTGATTCCTCCTCCCCCTCGTCCTTGAGGAGGATGCGCTACAACGGGAAGGAGCTGGCCTGGCTGGCTAGGCAGCCTCGCGGCTTCCAGCGAGAGGGGCAGCTACTCGCGGGGAGCGTCCCCCCAGGAAGCCTCATTCACCGACGGCCAGGTAAGGCCCCCCACAATGATGTTGGATCTGGACTTGTCTTCCTGCAGACGTCCATGTTGTTTGCCCCCTTGTTTTCCATCCCCCGCCTTCCCATCGTGACACCACCATCACTTAGTGGCGAATGGCGGGTTGTTGTTTTGTGTGTACACGTGTGTCTTTTGTGTGCGTGTGGAAACGCGCAGTCCTCTCGGAACGCTGGGGCCGTCTCAGAGGGAACCTTCTGTTCCTGCTCAAGTCACGTCACAAGGTGACCTTCACACCAGTGGGGGGGTCAATGAGTGGTGCACTAATTGGGTCGTGAGTTCATTTGGTCATGGGGGGCATCACCCCATTTTCCGGGTCGTTTGGTTGCACCCACGGGGGAAGGGGAGTTCACACAACGCCTGCGAGTGATTGACCAACCCTCGCTGCTGCCGCCTCTACAGCGCCGGATCACAAACAGGCAGCCACGTGCAGCAGCGTAGCCGCCAGCGCCGCCGCCGCCGCCGCCGCCGCCACTCAGCGTGCGTGTTGCGTGTTTCTGTGCGAAGGAGTCGGACGCAGATGAGGTGGTGGTGTTGGAGAGGTGCGTCATTTGTACGGACAACGACGGGCCGAACTGCGGTCTCACCATCAGTGAGTGGGCACGCCCGGCACGGCACGCCACGGCACGCCACGCCTCACTCTTGGCCGTGTGTGCGTGTGGGTGTTTGAGCGTGAGAGTGAGCGGGTAGGTGGGTGTTTGAGCGTGAGAATGAGCGGGTAGGTGGGTGTTTGAGCGTGAGAGTGAGCGGGTGGGTGGGTGGTTGAGCGTGAGAGTGAGCGGGTAGGTGGGTGTTTGAGCGTGAGAGTGAGCGGGTGGGTGTGTGTTTGAGCGTGAGAATGAGCGGGTAGGTGGGTGGTTGAGCGTGAGAGTGAGCGGGTACGTGGGTGTTTGAGCGTGAGAGTGAGCGGGTACGTGGGTGTTTGAGCGTGAGAGTGAGCGGGTGGGTGTGTGTTTGAGCGTGAGACTGAGCGGGTAGGTGGGTGGTTGAGCGTGAGAGTGAGCGGGTACGTGGGTGTTTGAGCGTGAGAGTGAGCGGGTAGGTGGGTGTTTGAGCGTGAGCGGGCGGGTGGGTGTTTGAGCGTGAGAGTGAGCGGGTGGGTGGGTGGTTGAGCGTGAGAGTGAGCGGGTAAGTGGGTGTTTGAGCGTGAGAGTGAGCGGGTAGGTGGGTGTTTGAGCGTGAGAGTGACCGGGTAGGTGGGTGGTTGAGCGTGAGAGTGAGCGGGTGGGTGGGTGGTTGAGCGTGAGAGTGAGCGGGTAAGTGGGTGTTTGAGCGTGAGAGTGAGCGGGTAGGTGGGTGTTTGAGTGTGAGAGTGAGCGGGTGGGTGGGTGTTTGAGCGTGAGAGTGAGCGGGTGGGTGGGTGTTTGAGCGTGAGAGTGAGCAGGTGGGTGGGTGGTTGAGTGTGAGAGTGAGCGGGTAGGTGGGTGTTTGAGCATGAGAGTGAGCGGGTGGGTGGGTGTTTGAGCGTGAGAGTGAGCGGGTGGGTGGGTGTTTGAGCGTGAGAGTGAGCGGGTAGGTGGGTGTTTGAGCGTGAGAGTGAGTGGGTAGGCGGGTGGTTGAGCGTCAGAGTTTGTTGGGGGGCCAACGACATGGCCCACTCACAGGCCCTGGGTAGATCTCGACTGTCTGCCCCCACTTACCCCCCACCCCTCTGCCCCCGCACCCCCCACAGGTTTCCCAGGCCCCGGGGTGTCTCTGTACCTGGAGGCCCCCGGCCGCTCGGAGCGCGACGCGTGGAGCCGCGCGCTGGGCCGCGCCAGCGCCGAGGCCCTGGCGGCCCGCGTGGCGGCGCTCCGCGCGGCCATCTCCGGCCTCCGCGGCCTCGGCCCGCTGGCCCCCGGCGCCCCCAGCACCCCTCAGCCCCCCGGCCCCCGGGAGGGCGGCAACCCGGCGCTGGAGTTGAGCATCGGTGATTTGGCACGGACTAGCGGCGGAGCGGCCGTGTGTACTCACCGTGTGTGTGTGTGTACTCACCGTGTGTGTGTGTGTACTCACCATGTGTGTGTGTGTGTACTCACCGTGTGTGTGTGTGTACTCACCGTGTGTGTACTCACCGTGTACTCACCCTGTGTGTGTGTACTCACCGTGTACTCACCGTGTGTGTGTGTGTGTACTCACCGTGTACTCACCCTGTGTGTGTGTACTCACCGTGTGTGTGTGTACTCACGGTGTGTGTGTGTACTCACTGTGTGTGTGTGTACTCACTGTGTGTGTGTGTACTCACGGTGTGTGTGTGTGTACTCACGGTGTGTGTGTGTACTCACAGTGTGTGTGTGTACTCACCGTGTGTGTGTACTCACCGTGTGTGTGTACTCACCGTGTACTCACCGTGTGTGTGTGTAATCACCGTGTACTCACCGTGTGTGTGTGTACTCACCGTGTGTGTGTGTACTCACCGTGTACTCACCGTGTGTGTGTGTAATCACCATGTACTCACCGTGTGTGTGTGTACTCACCGTGTGTGTGTGTACTCACAGTGTGTGTGTGTGTACTCACCCTGTGTGTGTGTACTCACCGTGTACTCACCGTGTGTGTGTACTCACCGTGTGTGTGTGTACTCACCGTGTACTCACCGTGTGTGTACTCACCGTGTGTGTGTGTGTGTACTCACGGTGTGTGTGTGTGTACTCACCGTGTGTGTGTGTGTGCTCAGCTTGCCGGGGGTTGCCGTGCGGGCCAGGGGACAGTCCCCCGAGTCCGTTTGCCCGTGTCTACGCCCAGTGTGCACACGCCCAGACGTGGACGCTCCACTCGCGCACGGAGACCATCGAGGCACCGCACCGAGCACCCCACCGCACGCCGCACCACGCGCCACACTACACCGCACTACACCGCACCACACCACACGCCACACTACACCGCACTACACCGCACCGCACTACCCCACACGCCACACTACACCGCGCTACACCACACACCACACTACACCGCACTACACCACACGCCGCACTACACCGCACTACACCGCACTACACCACACGCCACACTACACCGCACTACACCACACTACACCACACGCCACACTACACCGCCCTACACCACACACCACACTACACCACACTACACCACACTACACCACACGCCACACTACACCGCCCTACACCACACTACACCACACGCCACACTACACCACACTACACCACACGCCACACTACACCGCACTACACCACACTACACTACACCGCACTACACCACACTACACCACACGCCGCACTACACCGCACTACACCACACGCCACACCACACGCCACACTACACCACACTACACCACACGCCACACCACATGCCACACTACACCGCACTACACCACACGCCACACTACACCACACTACACCACACGCCGCACTACACCGCACTACACCACACGCCACACCACACGCCACACTACACCGCACTACACCACACGCCACACTACACCGCACTACACCACACTACACCACACTACACCACACGCCACACTACACCACACTACACCACACTACACCACACTACACCACACGCCACACTACACCGCACTACACCACACGCCACACTACACCACGCCAAGCAGCACCACACACCGCACCATGCACCACACCACGCATTGCACCACACCGCCCCACGCACTGCCGCACCGCACACCGCACCATTCACCGCACCTTGCCTCGGACCCCACTGCACTTTGCATATCCCATACCGCACGCTGTCCACCCAGCACCATGCACCACACTCGATCTACTTGCTATACATGGTGTGTGTGTTTGGTGTGGGTGTATATGGTGACTATGCACAGGGAGTGGTGCATATGGTGAGTGTACACGGTGCGGTGTGCATGGGGTGGGTGTGTATGGTGAGTATACACTGTGTAGGTGTGTATGGCGAGTATACACTGTGCAGGTGTGTATGGTGAGTATACACTGTGTGGGTGTGTATGGTGTGTATGGTGAGTGTACACTGTGTGGGTGTGTATGGTGAGTATACACTGTGTGGGTGTGTATGGTTTGGGTGTGTATGGTGCGTGTACACTGTGTATGGTGAGTGTACACTGTGTGGGTGTGTATGGTGTGGGTGTGTATGGTGAGTATACACTGTGTAGGTGTGTATGGCGAGTATACACTGTGTAGGTGTGTATGGTGAGTATACACTGTGTGGGTGTGTATGGTGTGTATGGTGAGTGTACACTGTGTGGGTGTGTATGGTGAGTATACACTGTGTGGGTGTGTATGGTTTGGGTGTGTATGGTGCGTGTACACTGTGTAGGTGTGTATGGTGAGTGTACACTGTGTGGGTGTGTATGGTGTGGGTGTGTATGGTGAGTATACATGGTGTGGGTGTGCATGGTGTAGGTGTGTATGGTGAGTATACATGGTGTGGGTGCGTACGGTTAGTGTACACTGTGTGGGTGTGTATGGTGAGTATACATGGTGTGGGTGTGTACGGTGAGTATACACTGTGTAGGTGTGTATGTTGAGTATACATGGTGTGGGTGTGTACGGTGAGTGTACACTGTGTGAGTGTACATTGTGTGGTGTGTATGGTGTAGGTGTGTATGGTGAGTATACATGGTGTGGGTGCGTACGGTTAGTGTACACTGTGTGGGTGTGTATGGTGAGTATACATGGTGTGGGTGTGTACGGTGAGTATACACTGTGTAGGTGTGTATGTTGAGTATACATGGTGTGGGTATGTACGGTGAGTGTACACTGTGTGAGTGTACACTGTGTGGTGTGTATGGTGAGTGTACACTGTGTGGGTGTGTATGGTGAGTATACATGGTGTGGGTGTGTACGGTGAGTGTACACAGTGTGAGTATACATGGTGTGGGTGCTTACAGTGAGTGTACACTGTGTGGTGTGTATGTTGAGTGTACACTGTGTGGGTGTGTATGGTGTGGGTTTGTATGGTGAGTATACATGGTGTGGGTGTGTATGGTGAGTGTACACTGTGTGAGTATACATGGTGTGGGTGTGTATGGTGTGGGTGTGTATGGTGAGTATACATGGTGTGGGTGCGTACGGTGAGTGTACACTGGGTGTGTACGGTGAGTGTACACTGTCTGGGTGTGTATGGTGAGTGTACACTGTGTGAGTATACATGGTGTGGATGTGTATGGTGAGTGTACACTGTGTGAGTATACATGGTGTAGCTGTGTATGGTGAGTATACACTGTGTGAGTATACACTGTGTAGGTGTGTACGGTGAGTGTACATGGTGTGGGTGCGTACGGTGAGTGTCCACGGCGCGGTGCGGTGAGTGCAGGCGACGTGTGCGCCCGAGTTCCTGGCGAGCGCCGCGTTCTTCTGCGCTCCGCGCCCCCTGAGGATCTGCGTCTCCGTGTGCGACTCCCGCGACCGGAGTGGTCCCGACGGAGTGAGGAAGCACCGCACCCTGGCACCGCACTTAGACACCCAACTCGCTAACGAGTTGTATATAACTGACTGTACATTTGGAGTTTGCGGTGTCTCTCTCTCTCTCCCCGTGGTAGCGTGAATTCATCTCCGGGTCTTCCGGTTTTCCCCTCCACATTTAGAATCAACGTCACGCGTTTGGAGTAGTTGCCTGCTGCTGTACACTTCCACGCGATGATGATGATGATGACATCAACCACCCTGCTGAGCGATCATTTGTGGCCTGAAAAAGAGCTCTGTAGCTCAGTGGGCCTTGCCCAGAAAAACTAAATAATAATAAACAGCACTTGCCCCAACAGTCTGTTAAGGCTACACGGGGGACATTTGTCTTTGTCGTGCCCAGGTGAAGGTTCTGGGAAAGGTGGAATGTTCGGTGGAGGAACTTCTGCGTGACGGAGGCAAGATAAGCCTCCCTTTGAAGTGAGCTCAACACCACCCACCTCACTCTTACCCTGACCCTGACTTTGACCTCGCCGCTCATGAGCCGACCATGGCTTGATCCTGACCCCCGACCCTGGCCTCTCCTGAATTGATCCTGACCCTGATCTGACCTCTTCTCTGTTGCAATTGTATTTCCTGTGCAGTCATTGGTGACCAGGGTGAGACCATCATCTCACAGCCACAGCTCCTTGTCTGTGAGTCCATGGCTCTCTGAGTGAGTCCATGGCTCTCTGTGTGAGTCTATGGGTCTCTGTGTGAGTCTATGGGTCTCTGTGTGAGTCTGTATCTCTGTGTGAGTCTATGGGTCTCTGTGTGAGTCTGTGGGTCTCTGTGTGAGTCTATGGGTCTGTGTGTGAGTCTATGGGTCTCTGTGTGAGTCTATGGGTCTCTGTGTGAGACTATGGGTCTCTGTGTGAGTCTATTGGTCTCTGTGTGAGTCTGTGGGTCTCTGTGTGAGTCTATGGGTCTCTGTGTGAATCTATGGGTCTGTGTGAGTCTATGGGTCTCTGTGTGAGTCTATGGGTCTCTGTGTGAGCCTATGGGTCTCTGTGTGAGTCTGTGTCTCTGTGTGAGTCTATGGGTCTCTGTGTGAGTCTGTGGGTCTCTCTGTGAGTCTATGGGTCTCTGTGTGAGTCTATGGGCTCTGTGTGAGTCTACGGGTCTCTGTGTGTGAGTCTATGGGTCTCTGTGTAAGTCTATGGGGTCTCAATGTGAGTCTATGGGTCTCTGTGTAAGTCTATGGGTCTCAATTTGAGTCTATGGGCCTCTGTGTAAGTCTATGGGTCTCAATGTGAGTCTATGGGTCTCTGTGGAAGTCTATGGGTCTCAATGTGAGTCTATGGGCCTCTGTGTAAGTCTATGGGTCTCAATGTGAGTCTATGGGTGTCTGTGTAAGTCTATGGGGTCTCAATGTGAGTCTATGGGCCTCTGTGTAAGTCTATGGGTCTTAATGTGAGTGTATGGGTCTCTGTGTAAGTCTATGGGTCTCAATGTGAGTCTATGGGTCTCTGTCTCTGCAGATCGGACCAGGGAGTGAGCGCTGGTGAGGTGAGACTGCAAGGTTGGGCGAGCGACAGTGGTGAGGAGACGATGGCTTCCTCACCACTACTGGTGAGGAGGAACGACAGATTGGATCACGTGTCATGACCCTACCCCCATAGCCCATACCTCTACCCCCTCTCTCTCTACTCCCATACCGCTACCACCCCTCTCTCTCTCTACCCCCATACCCCTACACCCCTCTCTCTCTACCCCCATACCCCTACCACCCCCCTCTCTCTTCCCCCATACCCCTACCACCCCTCTCTCTCTACCCCCATACCCCTACCACCCCTCTCTCTCTCTACCCCCATACCCCTACACCCCTCTCTCTCTACCCCCATACCCCTACCACCCCCCTCTCTCTTCCCCCATACCCCTACCACCCCTCTCTGTATGCCCCCATACCCCTACCACCCCTCTCTCTACCCCATAGCCCTACCACCCCTCTCTCTCTACCCCCATAGCCCATACCCCTACCCCCCCCCCCCATCTCTACCCCCATACCCCTACCACCCCTCTCTCTACCCCCATAGCCCTACCACCCCTCCCTCTCTACCCCCATAGCCCATACCCCTACCCCCCCCCCCCCCCTATCTCTACCCCCATACCCCTACCACCCCTCTCTCTCTACCCCATAGCCCTACCACCCCTCTCTCTCTACCCCCGTAACCCACACGCCTACCACCCCCCCCTATCTCTACCCCCATAGCCTATACCCCTAACCCCCTCTCTCTACCCCCATAGCCCTACCACCCCTCTCTCTCTACCCCCGTAGCCCACACCCCTACCACCCCCCCCATCTCTACCCCCATACCCCTACCACCCCTCTCTCTCTACCCCCAAACCCCTACCACCCCTCTCTCTACCCCCATAGCCCTACCACCCCTCTCTCTCTACCCCCGTAGCCCACACCCCTACCACCCCCCCCCCCTATCTCTACCCCCATACCCCTACCACCCCTCTCTCTCTACCCCCATACCCCTACCACCCCTCTCTCTACCCCCATAGTCCTACCACCCCTCTCTCTCTACCCCCATAGCCCATACCCCTACCCCCCCTATCTCTACCCCATACCTCTACCACCCCTCTCTCTCTACCCCCATAGCCCTACCACCCCTCTCTCTCTACCCCCGTAGCCCACACCCCTACCACCCCCCCCCCCCATCTCTACCCCCATACCCCTACCACCCCTCTCTCTCTACCCCCATACCCCTACCACCCCTCTCTCTACCCCCATAGCCCTACCACCCCTCTCTCTCTACCCCCATAGCCCATACCCCTACCCCCCTATCTCTACCCCCATACCCCTACCACCCCTCTCTCTCTACCCCCATAGCCCTACCACCCCTCTCTCTCTACCCCCGTAGCCCACACCCCTACCACCCTCCCCTATCTCTACCCCCATAGCCTATACCCCTACCCCCCTCTCTCTACCCCCATACCCCTACCACCCCTCTCTCTACCCCCATAGCCTATACCCCTACCCCCCCTCTCTCTACCCCCATACCCCTACCACCCCTCTCTCTACCCCCATATCCCATACCCCTACCACCCCCCCTCTCTCTACCCCATAGCCCATACCCCTACCCCCCTCTCTCTCTACCCCCGGAGCCCATACCCCTACCACTACCCACAACCCATACCCTATACACCAGCACCATCACTGTGTATCCATACTGCAGTAATACAAATTCATTACCAGTTACCCCCCTGCCCCCCCCCCTTCCGCTGCCCCCCCCTGCCCACGCCCCCCCCCCCCCGCTCCCCCCCCCCACCCCAAGGCTGTCCAGGGCCCTCGTGAGATGTCCGCGTGGCGAGCAAAGCGCTACCACAGCCTCCTCCATGACGAGTTCCTCAGGACCAGTGAGCGATGGCATCACCACCGCCATCGTCACCATCATCGCCATCATCGTCGTCATCGTCATCATCGCTAACATCGTGACTAACATCATCGCTAACATCATCATCACGAACATCATCATTGCTCACATCATTACCAACATCATCACTAACATCACCACCATCATCACGATTGCAAACATCATTACTAACACGTCACCACCATCACTAATATCGTCATGACTAACGTCATCTCTAACATCACCAGCATCATCTTCATGATCATTACAAACATCACTAACATCACCATCATCAATAACAACATTATTAACATCGTTTTAACTAACATCATCATCATCGCTGGCAGTGCATGCGTAAGTGTGCGACTGAGTGGATGAGTGAGTGAATGAACGATTGAGCGAGTAAGTGAATGAGTGAGTGAGCAGGCGAGGTAAATAGTGAGTGTGTGTGTCTGTGTATGTGTGTGTGTTTGGTGGAGCGATAGTGTAGCGGTTAGCACGCTGCGCTATGAACCCGTCAACATGGGTTCGATTCCCGCTCACGGCCAACACCGGTGACGATTATCTGAACCGGTCCTGGGACTCCCCTAGGTCGACTCAGTCTCGAATGAGTACCTGGTGCGGTGTGTAAACATCGCCACTGGGGAGACAAAGGCGGTCGGGCGTGGTGCTGGCCACCCACCCCCTCGTGTGCCGTTCCGGCCTTCATAGGTGCTGCTCGTCAACAGCACTTGCCCCAACAGTCTGTTAAGGCTACATGGGGGATCTTTGTGTCTGTGTCCATATGCAGCCTTGATAGGCGCTGCCGCTCACTAACAGGCATTTGCCCCAGTACCCTGTGTGGGCCATATGGGGGGGGGGGGGGGGGGGGCCTTAGCTTTAACTTTTTGCGTAAGTCGGTGAGTTGGTGAGTGAGTGCATGAGTAGATGAAGGAATAAGCGAGTGGGTGAGTGAGTAAGCGACGAACGAGGGAGCGAGTGGGTGAGCGTAGCAGCGAGCGCGTGTGCGCGCGTACACGTGCCTGTCTGCGCACGTGTCCATGCGTACGTACTCCATGTTGAACTTCTTCCGCACCGTACGGAGCCGGCCGAGCTTATCGGAGGCACGCGGCCCCGGCAGGCGCTGCCACTCGCGGACAGGCAACACGGGGAATGGGAACGTTGCCTCTGTCTCGTCGACAGTGTTCTGCAACGAGTGCGTGCGCACGTACCGCGTGCCGGGCCACGTGGAGTCACCGCGGCGGCCGCTCCTCGCGGTGCAGGAGCGCATGGCCGAGTCGCGTCTGTCCTTCCACGTTCCACGCCAGCTGCTGCAGATGAGACTCCGCCAGCTGTCGGCGTGGTGCGGTCACTCGCATGCGCACGCAGAGACGCGGAGAGGCACGCGCGGGGGGACGCGGGCAGGGACGCGCGCAGAGACACGCAGACGGAATGAGAATGAGCTGTAAAGCCTCTTTTTCACGGATGTCCTGTAGGGGCACGGGGTAAGAACGTTACAACACAGGGAGCGATGCAGAGACGCGCGTGCAGAGACACGGGTAGAGGCATGGAGAGACACAGAGGCACACGGACTTGTGTGTACCCTCCCTGTGCGTACCCCACACTGTGTGTACTCCCCCTGTGTGTACTCCCTGTGTGTACCACCTGTGTGTACTCCCTGTGTGTACACTCCCTGTGTGTACACACTGTGTGTACTCCCTGTGTGTACCCTCCCTGTGTGTACCCTCCCTGTGCGTACCCCCGTAGTGTAGCAGTTAGCGCTACGCTGCGCTATGAACCCGGCGACACGAGTTCGATTCCCGCTCACGGCCAACACCGGTGACGATTATCTGAACCGGTGTCGGGCCTCCCCTAGGTCGACTCAGCCTCAAATGAGTACCTGGTGCGGCGTGTAAACATCGCCACTGGGGAGACAAAGGCGGTCGGGCGTGGTGCTGGCCACCCACCCCCTCGTGTACCGTTTCGGCCTTCATAGGTGCTGCTCGCTGACAGCACTTGCCCCTACAGTCTGTTAAGGCTACACGGGGGATCTTTGTCTTTGTTGTGTACTCCCCCTGTGTGTGCTCCCTGTGTGTACTCCCTGTGTGTACACCCTGTGTGTACTCACCCTGTGTGTACTCCCCTGTGTGTACCACCTGTGTGTACCACCTGTGTGTACCACCTGTGTGTACTCCCTGTGTGTACACCCTGTGTGTACCCACTGTGTGTACTCCCTGTGTGTACTCCCTGTGTGTACTCCCTGTGTGTACTCACCCTGTGTGTACTCCCTGTGTGTACTCCCTGTGTGTACTCCCCTGTGTGTACTCACCCTGTGTGTACTCCCCTGTGTGTACTCCCTGTGTGTACTCCCCTGTGTGTACTCACCCTGTGTGTACTCCCCTGTGTGAACTCCCTGTGTGTACTCCCTGTGTGTACCCCCACACTGTGTGTACTCCCCTGTGTGAACTCCCTGTGTGTACTCACCCTGTGTGTACTCCCCTGTCTGTACTCACCCTGTGTGTACCACCTGTGTGTACTCCCTGTGTGTACTCCCTGTGTGTACTCACACTGTGTGTACACACTGTGTGTGCTCCCCTGTGTGTACTCCCTGTGTGTACTCCCTGTGTGTACACACTGTGTACCACCTGTGTGTACTCACCCTGTGTGTACTCAGCCTGTGTGTACTCCCTGTGTGTACTCCCTGTGTGTACTCACCCTATGTGTACTCCCTGTGTGTACTCCCCTGTGTGTACTCACCCTGTGTGTACTCCCTGTGTGTACTCCCTGTGTGTACCACCTGTGTGTACACACTGTGTGTACACACTGTGTATACTCCCTGTGTGTACTCCCTGTGTGTGTACTCCCTGTGTGTACTCACTGTGTGTACTCCCTGTGTGTACTCCCTGTGTGTACTCACACTGTGTGTACTTCCTGTGTGTACTCCCTGTGTGTACCACCTGTGTGTACCACCTGTGTGTACTCCCTGTGTGTACCCCCACACTGTGTGTACTCACCCTATGTGTACTCCCTGTGTGTACTCCCCTGTGTGTACTCCCCTGTGTGTACTCACCCTGTGTGTACTCCCTGTGTGTACTCCCTGTGTGTACCACCTGTGTGTACACACTGTGTGTACTCCCTGTGTGTACTCCCTGTGTGTACTCCCTGTGTGTGTACTCCCTGTGTGTGTACTCACTGTGTGTACTCCCTGTGTGTACTCCCTGTGTGTACTCACACTGTGTGTACTTCCTGTGTGTACCACCTGTGTGTACCACCTGTGTGTACTCCCTGTGTGTACCCCCACACTGTGTGTACTCACCCTGTGTGAACTCCCCTGTGTGTACTCACTGTGTGTACTCCCTGTGTGTACGCCCTGTGTACTCACTGTGTGTACTCCCTGTGTGTACTCCCCTGTGTACTCACTGTGTGTACTCCCTGTGTGTACCCCCTGTGTGTACCACCTGTGTGTACCACCTGTGTGTACTCCCTGTGTGTACTCCCTGTGTGTACTCACCCTGTGTGTACTCACACTGTGTGTACCCCCACACTGTACCACCTGTGTGTACCACCTGTGTGTACCACCTGTGTGTACCACCTGTGTGTACCACCTGTGTGTACCACCTGTGTGTACTCCCTGTGTGTACCACCTGTGTGTACCACCTGTGTGTACCACCTGTGTGTACCACCTGTGTGTACTCCCTGTGTGTACCACCTGTGTGTACCACCTGTGTGTACCACCTGTGTGTACCACCTGTGTGTACCACCTGTGTGTACCACCTGTGTGTACCACCTGTGTGTACCACCTGTGTGTACCCCCTGTGTGTACCACCTGTGTGTACCACCTGTGTGTACCACCTGTGTGTACCACCTGTGTGTACCACCTGTGTGTACCACCTGTGTGTACCACCTGTGTGTACTCCCTGTGTGTACTCCCTGTGTGTACCACCTGTGTGTACCACCTGTGTGTACCACCTGTGTGTACCACCTGTGTGTACTCCCTGTGTGTACCACCTGTGTGTACTCCCTGTGTGTACTCCCTGTGTGTACCACCTGTGTGTACTCCCTGTGTGTACTCCCTGTGTGTACCACCTGTGTGTACTCCCTGTGTGTACTCACCCTGTGTGTCCCCGGTGGCACAGCGGTTAGCGCCGCGCTACGAACCTGGCGACCCGAGTTCGATTCCTGCTCACGGCCAACGCCGTTGACGATTATCTGAACCGGTCCTGCATGTGGAGGTCGACTCAGCCTCAAATGAGTACCTGGTGCGGTGTGTAGTAAACATCGCCACTAAGGGAAGACAAAGGCGGCCGGGCGTGGTGCTGGCCACCCACCCCCTCGTGTTGTGCACCTGCTTTGTAGGTGCTACCCGCTAACAGCACTTGCCCCAACAGCCCGTTAAAGGCTACACGGGGGAACTTTGTCTTTTTTAACCCCTGTGTGTTTGTCCCCTTGACCTGCCAGGCTCTCTCTACTGCAAAGTGTGGACCCCCTACTTCCTGCCCGCGTGGAAGAGCGGCGCCAACGCCTCCTGGCCCTGGGCAGAGAGCAAATGGAGGCCTACACGGAGGCCCTCACCAGCCTGCACGCTCACCACGGTGACTCGCCACACTCCTCACCACCGTGGCTCGCCGCACTCCTCACCGCCACGCCCACCAGGCTCGGTGTGTAGGTGCCTGCTAGCACCACCTTGCCCCAAAGGTCTGCTGAGGCTATGTGGGGGATCTTTGCCTTTGTGCAGGGCCGAGCTTCAAGGCGAGCCGTCTGCGGAGGGAGCGAGCACTCGCCTTCGTGCCCATCAACCTCCACGTGCAGCGCCTGCGCGTGCAGGATGCGCACACGCGTCGCGGTACGGTGGCAGAGACACGCGCACGCAGAGACACGGGGACGACACGCAGAGACACGGGGACGACACACAGAGACACGGGGACGACACGCAGAGACACGGGGACGACACGCTCACACAGAGACGCGGGGACGACACGCGCACGCAGAGACACGGGGACGACACGCAGAGACACGGGGACGACACGCAGAGACACGGGGACGACACGCAGAGACACGGGGACGACGCGCACACAGAGACACGGGGACGACACGCACACAGAGACACGGGGACGACATGCGCACACAGAGACACGGGGACGACGCGCACACAGAGACACGGTGACGACACGCAGAGATACGGGGACGACACGCAGAGACATGGGGACGACGCGCACACAGAGACACGGGGACGACGCGCACACAGAGACACGGGGACGACACTCAGAGACACGGGGACAACACGCTCACACAGAGACACGGGGACGACACGCTCACACAGAGACACGGGGACAACACGCTCACACAGAGACACAGGGACGACACGCAGAGACACGGGGACGACGCGCACACAGAGACACAGGGACGACGCTCACACAGAGACACAGGGGCGACGCTCACACAGAGACACGGGGACGACACGCAGAGACACGGGGACGACACGCAGAGACACGGGGACGACACGCTCACACAGAGACACAGGGACGACACGCAGAGACACGGGGACGACGCGCACACAGAGACACAGGGACGACGCTCACACAGAGACACAGGGGCGACGCTCACACAGAGACACGGGGACGACACGCAGAGACACGGGGACGACACACAGAGACACGGGGACGACACACAGAGACACGGGGACGACACGCTCACTCAGAGACACGGGGACGACACGCGCACTCAGAGACACGGGGACGACACACAGACACGGGGACGACACACAGAGACACGGGGACGACACACGCACACAGAGACACGGGGACGACACGCGCACTCAGAGACACGGGGACGACACACAGAGACACGGGGACGACACGCTCACACAGAGACACGGGGACGACACCCTCACGCAGAGACACGGGGACGACACGCTCACACAGAGACACGGGGACGACACACAGAGACACGGGGACGACACGCGCACACAGAGACACGGGGACGACACACAGAGACACGGGGACGACACGCGCACACAGAGACACGGGGACGACACACAGAGACATGGGGACGACACCCTCACGCAGAGACACGGGGACGACACACACACCAGAGACACGGGGATGACACGCGCACACAGAGACACGGGGACGACACGCTCACACAGAGACACGGGGACGACACACACACCAGAGACACGGGGATGACACGCGCACACAGAGACACGGGGACGACACGCTCACACAGAGACACGGGGACGACACACAGAGACACGGGGACGACACGTGCACACAGAGACACGGGGACGACACACAGAGACACGGGGACGACACGCGCACACAGAGACACGGGGACGGCACACAGAGACACGGGGACGACACTCAGAGACACGGGGACGACACACAGAGACACGGTGACGACACGCGCACACAGAGACGCGCCCAGTCACACGCCGCCAGTACGATTACGCGGGAGACAAAGGCGGCCGTGTGTGGTGCTCCCCCAGACTGCACGTACGACGTGGTGACTGTCGGCGCCCCCGCAGCCCACGTCCTCGGCTTCAAGGGCGGGGGGCTGCGGAGTCTGATGGCACGGGGGGCCTGCCTCAGGAGGTTCACAGACCCCCCCCCCCCCCACCGCCGTCGATCATCACTCACCTCCACTCACCTCTGTTGGACACTCCCTGTCACTCACCACCACGCAGCCTCCACTCAACCCCAGTCGCCTGTCCCCCTCCCTCCCAGTGGGCTGGGTGAGCAGGGCGATGTGAGGGCTCTGCTGCAGCGTCTGTGGAAGCTGAAGCTCCAGTTCGACTCGCACCTGACATCCCTCGCCTCGCCACCGCCGCTCACCGCTCGCTCCGCACCGCCACCGCTCACCACTGAAGAGCTCTCCGCCCACCTAGCCCACGTGGCTGATACGGTGAGCGACGCGACTCCCGCCGCACTCGCGCTCACCCCGTCAACCGCCCGCTCGCAGGGAGGCTCGCGCTCACGCTCGTCCACTCTCGCTCGCTCGCGCTCACTCACACTCACCCACTCACCCACTCTCACTCTCACTCACTCTCACTCACGCTCACCCACTCACACTCACCCACTCACACTCACCCACTCTCACTCACCCACTCTCACTCACGCTCACCCACTCACACTCACCCACTCTTGCTCGCCCACTCACACTCTCATTCACCCACTCTCGCTCACCCACTCGCGCTCACCCACTCCACTCACCCACTCGCGCTCGCCCACTCTCGCTCGCCCACTCTCGCTCGCCCGCTCTCGCTCGCTCGCTCGCTCACGCTCACCCACTCGCACTCACTCGCACTCACACTCTCAGTCACCCACTCACACTCACCCACTCACACTCACCCACTCACACTCACCCACTCACTCGCACTCACTCGCACTCACACTCTCAGTCACCCACTCACATTCACACACTCACCCACTCACACTCACCCACTCACTCGCACTCACCCACTCACACTCACCCACTCACACTCTCCCACTCATACTCTCCCACTCACACTCACCCACTCATACTCACCCACTCACACTCACCCACTCATACTCACCCACTCACACTCACCCACAACAACAACCGCCATTCGCCACTAAGTGGCGGTGACGTCACCACGACGCTTGTGGCAGGCTATGTGCACCCTGAGGCCACGTGAAGTGTCGAACGCCCACTGGCAGGAGGTCACGGGGCAGACCCAGGTGCCACGGGTCGACTGACTGAGATGACTGGCTGATGCACCACCTGTGCCCCCTACTGTGCAAACCTGCTGTGCTTTAGCCACCCGGCGCTCCGCTCGTTGTTCTGAGCGTCGCTCCTCCGCCCTCCGTTGTTGTTGGAGGGCGACTACCTCCAACTGCCCAGTAGCGTCCTTCACGAGCCTCCTCCACAGAGGCCGATCTTGACACCGCTGGTACCAGTCATTGGCAAGTCCACTCAGCTCCACGTCCTCCTGTACCACATCACTCCATCTCTTCTCTAGCCTGTGCCGCGCCCGCTTAGCCCCCTCGATCTGGCCGAACAAAAGCTGTTTCGGCATGCGGTGGCTGGGCATGCGGGCTACATGACCCAGCCATCGCAGCCTTCCCCGCCGTAGGAGCTCACCGATGGGACCTTGCTCAGATCTTTCAAGGATTTGTGAGCTCCTCACGCAATCCAGTCTGGTTAAACCCAGGATGGATCGTAGGCCGGCCAGCCTAAATGTTTCTAACCGGCGAAGATGTTCCGTTGGGGGGTCCACGTTTCGCAAGCATAGAGAAGGCAGGGAATGACCGTGGCCGAGAAGACCTGAAGCTTAGTGCGGAGCGACAGACCAGGTAGCTTCCACACAGCGTTACGCAACCGATGAAAAATATTGCCGCTCGACTGATTCGGAGTGAGACCTCTGCTGTTAAACTGGAGCCAGTCATAAGCACACTGCCCAGGTATGGGAAACTCTCCACTCTCTCCACAACTGCCCCATCACTCACCCACTCGCACTCACCCACTCACACTCACCTACTCATACTCACCCACTCACACTCACCCACTCATACTCACCCACTCACACTCACCCACTCATACTCACCCACTCATACTCACCCACTCACACTCACCCACTCACACCCACTCACTCGCACTCACCCACTCACTCGCACTCACCCACTCACACTCACCCACTCATACTCACCCACTCACACTCTCACCCACTCACACTCTCACCCACACACACTCTCGCTCACCCACTCACACTCACCCGCTCACACTCACCCACTCACACTCACCCACTCACACTCACCCACTCACACTCACCCACTCACACTCACCCGCTCACACTCACCCGCTCACACTCACCCACTCACACTCACCCACTCACACTCACTCACACTTTCGCTCACCCACTCACGCTCACCCACTCGCATTCTCACCCTCCCCTGTCACATCCCCTTCCTCCCCCACAGACGCAGCAGGTGGTATTGCTGTGTGAGCAGGAAGCGGTGTGCGAGGCCGTGTTGCGGCTGGCGCGGAGTGAGAGCCAGGAGTCCGGACTCGCTGCCACAACCCCCACCGCCGGCTCGTCCACAAGCTCAACGCTGCGGGTGGTGTCACGGCGTGAATGGGTGAGTGGGTGTCTGTGGGGAGCGGTGGTGCAGCGGTTAGCGCTACGCTGCGAACCCGGCGACCCGAGTTCCATTCCTGCTCACGTCCGACACCAATGACGATTATCTGAACCGGTCCTGGGCCTCTCCTAGGTCGACTTAGCCTTAAATTAGTACCTGTTGCGATGTGTAAACAGCAGGAATGGGGAGACAAAGGTGGCCTGGTATGGTGGGCAGTGAGTGAGTTACTTTCTGTGTTTGTGCCTGGGTAGGGTGGTAGAGTGAGTGAGTAGTGAGTACTCACTCTGTGTGTGTGTACTTAGAGGTGGTACCTGGGTAGGCTGGTAAAGTGCGTGAGTGAGTAGTGAGTACTCACTCTGTGTGTGTACTTAGAGGTGGTACCTGGGTAGGCTGTTAGAGTGAGTAGTGAGTACTCACTCTGTGTGTGTGTACTTAGAGGTGGTACCTGGGTAGGCTGTTAGAGTGAGTAGTGAGTACTCACTCTGTGTGTGTGTACTTAGAGGTGGTACCTGGGTAGAGGTGGTAAAGTGAGTGAGTAGTGAGTACTCACTCTGTGTGTGTGTGTACTCAGACGCAGTTGCTGAGCGGAGTGGAGGAGGAGCTGGAATTGCTGTTATTGGGTTCAGGACCTGAACACGGTAAGGACGGTGTGTGAGGTGCAGCAGTGAGCATGCTGTGGTGCAGCAGTGAGCACGCTGAGCACGCTGCGGAGCAGCAGTGTACATGCTGTGGTGCAGCAGTGAGCACGCTGAGGTGCAGCAGTGAGCACGCTGTGGGGCAGCAGTGAGCACGCTGAGGTGCAGCAGTGAGCACGCTGAGCATGCTGTGGTGCAGCAGTGAGCACGCTGCGGGGCAGCAGTGAGCACGCTGTGGTGCAGCAGTGTGCACGCTGTGGTGCAGCAGTGTGTCTGCGTGTGCAGACACACTGTGTACGGGGAGCGGTGGTGCAGCGGTTAGCGCTACGCTGCGCTACGAACCCGGTGACCCCCAGTTCGATTCCCGCTCACAGCCAACACCGGTGACGATCATCTGAACCGGTCCCGGGCCTCCCCTTAGGTCGACTCGGCCTCAAATGAGTACCTGGTGCGGCGTGTAGTAAACATCGCCACTGGGGGAGACAAAGGCGGCCGGGCGCAGTGCTGGCCACCCACCCCCTCGTGCGCCGTTCCCGGCCTTCATAGGCGCCGCTACTGGCTAACGGCACTTGCCCCCACAGTCTGTTACAGGCTACGCGGGGGACCTTTGTCTTTGCAGACCTGCGTGCACGCGTGTCGCTGCTGGCTCCCCGCGTGCGCGCAGCGTGCGATCGTGCTGGCCGGGCCCTGCTGGCGATCGCGCTGGAGAGCGAAGCCTGCTGGGGCTCGTCGCTGAGCCACCGGCGAGACGTCATCGATTCCCACACCGTGAGACCCGCCACCGCCACCTCCCCCCCCCCCCCCCCGCTCACCACCACCTTTGTCTCCCCGCCTCATGAGCGCCACGGTGACTATGAGATGTTGACTACCTCGCCTGGTCGACAGGAGGTCGTGGGTTCGATCCTGACCCTGTCGCCTGCTGCTGTATATTTGGAGTCTGCGTGTCTCTCTCTCTCTCTCTGTAGTGAGATGTTAACTACCTCGCCTGGTCTACAGGAGGTCGTGGGTTCGATCCCGACCCTGTCGCCTGCTGCTGTATATTTGGAGTCTGCGTGTCTCTCTCTCTCTCTCTGTAGTGAGATGTTGACTACCTCGCCTGGTCTACAGGAGGTCGTGGGTTCGATCCCTCTTCACTGGCTTCGCGACCCCACCCCTCATCTCTCCCTGATCGCTGGCTTCATGACTCACTCCCCCCCCCCCCCACCTCCGTCTTTGTCTCCCTCCCCAGCTGTCGGCGCTGGTGGTGGGCTGCGTGTTGCGCCTGCGTGCGGGGCTTGGCGACGCCGCGTTTCTGCAGCAGCTGCGGCACGCCGGCCTCCTCGTGTGCTTCGAAAGCCTCCTGAGCACCTACGGTGAGTAGCCACCCATTCCGACTCGAGGCAAGGCCCCACCGAGCGACTGTGTACGGGAGTTTTCAGAAGCGACCTGGCGATCACGAGTGACGGCTCGGCAAAGTGTCACGCGGACATTTATAGCAGCAGCAGCAGTAGCAGCAGCAGCAGTAGCAGCAGCAGTAGCAGCAGTAGTAGTAGCAGCAGTAGTAGCAGTAGCAGCAGCAGTAGCAGCAGCAGCAGCAGTAGTAGCAGCAGCAGCAGTAGCAGCAGCAGTAGCAGCAGCAGCAGTAGCAGCAGTAGCAGTAGCAGCAGCAGCAGTAGTAGCAGTAGCAGCAGTAGTAGCAGCAGCAGTAGCAGCAGTAGCAGCAGCAGTAGCAGCAGCAGCAGCAGTAGCAGCAGCAGTAGCAGCAGCAGTAGCAGCAGCAGCAGTAGCAGCAGCAGTAGCAGCAGCAGCAGCAGCAGCCAAATAATCTGAACGCGGTGACGTTGACTCGAAACGTGGAGGGGAAAAACCGGAGGACCCAGAGAAAAATCCACGCCACCACGGAGAGAGAGAGAGACACGCAAACTCCAAATATAGAGCAGCAGGCGTCACGGTCGGGATTGAAACCACAACCTCCTGTAGACCAGGCGAGGTAGTTAACATCTCCTAGCCACTGTAGCGCGCCTCTGGTGAGTACCCACCTATGTGTGTGTGTACGTTTAACTTCTTTCGCACTGTTTGTAGCCAACCGTGCTAATTCGAGGTGCTTGCGGAAGGACAACAAACTAAACACACAAAGCCGTTTAGTGAGTTTTCAACCTGGACGATTTTGAAGTCCGTACGTAACTCCTGAAGGGAGAGCATTCCAGATGGCCCCAGAGGCGCATCTGAAAGCGCGCGACGCGGTCGACCGTCTTTGTTCGATGGCTCGCGCCAAAAGGCTCCCGCGAGGATGACCGGCGTTAGCGTCCTGGCACGTGCTCTTCGACGAGCTCGGCGAGGCTTCCGCATGCTGCGTGCGTCGAAGTTGTCCCGCGCCGTACGCAGCCAACCGTGCCATGAGCGCGTTTGGCTACGCTCGCTTGTGGCAAGCGCTCTGCGTTGTAATGCGTGTGCCACCTTACGACAAGCTCGTTCGGCAGCCGGACGGACATCTTGCAGTACCCCGTCACACCACGTGCCCGGGAATGTTCCGGTACCCTGTCACACCACGTGCCCGGGAATGTTGCAGTACCCCGTCACACCACGTGCCCGGGAATGTTGCAGTACCCCGTCACACCACGTGACCGGGAATGTTGCAGTACCCCGTCACACCACGTGCCCGGGAATGTTGCAGTACCCCGTCACACCACGTGACCGGGAATGTTCCGGTACCCCGTCACACCGCGTGCCCGGGAATGTTGCGCCACGCTGCAGCTCGGTGAAGCTTTTGCCAGACGTCCCGTAGAGTAGCGAGCCTTGTTGATGCCGTGCTACATGGGGCCGTGTTGGCCAAGTCACGACTACAATCGTGGTCGCGAATGTGTGCCACCCACATTCCTCTCCCTGTCTCCCACTCTGTCTGCCTCTCTCCGTGCGTAGGGGATGAGCAGGCGATGCTGGAGGACATGGCGGTGTCCGTGATGGATCTGTCTCACCGCGTCTCCCTGCGGCTCACCCTGTCGCCTCCCGGCTCCGAGGGAGACGACCTGCTGCCGTCTCTGACAGAGGACGGGTAACTCGCGCGCACGCACACGCAGTACAAAGGCAAAGATCCCCCGCGTAGCCTGTAACAGACGTGGTACACACGTGGTACACACGTGGTACACACGCGGTACACACGTGGTACACACGTGGTACACACGCAGTACACACGCGGTACACACGTGGTACACACGCAGTACACACGTGGTACACACGTGGTACACACGCAGTACACACGCGGTACACACGCGGTACACACGCGGTACACACGCGGTACACACGCGGTGGTGCTCGCATCACGCGGCGCGTGCGGTGTGCGCAGGGAGGGCTGCGTGGTGAGTGTCCCTCTACCCGCGCCGATGTTCCGCACGCTGCCCGAGCCCCTCAGAGACGGCGCCCTCGTCCCCGTCAGCACCGCACTCTTCAGCATCGGCATCAACGAGCAGCAGACACTTGTCGAAAGGCGAGTCGCCCGCTCGCTCGCTCGCCTCGCTCGCTCACCACCCACTGCCTCGCTCCCCCCCACCACCTCGCTCTCCACCCACCACCTCGCTCTCCACCCACCACCTCGCACGCCACCCACCGCCACGCTCTCCACCCACCACCTCGCACGCCACCCACCACCTCGCTCGCCACCCACCACCTCGCTCGCCACCCACCACCTCGCACGCCACCCACCACCTCGCACGCCACCCACCACCTCGCTCTCCACCCACCACCTCGCTCTCCACCCACCACCTCGCTCTCCACCCACCACCTCGCTCTCCACCCACCGCCTCGCTCTCCACCCACCACCTCGCTCTCCACCCACCACCTCGCTCTCCACCCACCACCTCGCACGCCACCCACCACCTCGCACGCCACCCACCACCTCGCTCTCCACCCACCACCTCGCTCTCCACCCACCACCTCGCTCTCCACCCACCACCTCGCTCTCCACCCACCACCTCGCACGCCACCCACCACCTCGCACGCCACCCACCACCTCGCTCTCCACCCACCACCTCGCTCTCCATCCACCACCTCGCTCTCCACCCACCTCCTCGCACGCCAGCCACCACCACGCTCTCCACCCACCACCTCGCTCTCCACCCACCACCTCGCTCTCCACCCACCACCTCGCTCTCCACCCACCACCTCGCTCTCCACCCATCACCTCGCTCTCCACCCACCACCTCGCACGCCACCCACCACCTCGCACGCCACCCACCACCTCGCTCTCCACCCACCACCTCGCTCTCCACCCACCACCTCGCACACCACCCACCACCTCGCACGCCACCCACCACCTCGCTCTCCACCCACCACCTCGCTCTCCACCCACCACCTCGCTCACCACCCACCACCTCGCTCTCCACCCACCACCTCGCTCTCCACCCACCACCTCGCACGCCACCCACCACCTCGCTCTCCACCCATGACCTCGCTCACCACCCACCACCTCGCTCTCCACCCACCACCTCGCTCTCCACCCACCACCTCGCACGCCACCCACCACCTCGCTCTCCACCCACCACCTCGCTCTCCACCCACCACCTCGCACGCCACCCACCACCTCGCTCACCACCCACCACCTTGCTCTCCACCCACCACCTCACTCTCCACCCACGACCTCGCACGCCACCCACCACCTCGCTCTCCACCCACCACCTCGCTCTCCACCCACCACCTTGCTCTCCACCCACCACCTCACTCTCCACCCACTACCTCGCACGCCACCCACCACCTCGCTCTCCACCCACCACCTCGCTCTCCACCCACCACCTCGCACTCCACCCACCACCTCGCTCTCCACCCACCACCTCGCTCTCCACCCACCACCTCGCTCTCCACCCACCACCTCGCTCTCCACCCACCACCTCGCACGCCACCCACCACCTCGCTCTCCACCCACCACCTCGCTCTCCACCCACTGCCTCGCTCTCCACCCACCACCTCGCTCTCCACCCACCACCTCGCACGCCACCCACCACCACGCTGGCCGATTGCTGGCCCACTGTGCTCACCGCCGATTGAGACACTCGCCCGGTTACTCGTGTGGTGTCTCTGTGTGTGTGGTGTCTGTGTGTGTGTGGTGTTTGTGTGTGTGGTGTCTGTGTGTGTGTGGTGTCTCTGTGTGTGTGGTGTCTCTGTGTCTGTGGTGTATCTGTGTCTGTGGTGTCTCTGTGTGTGTGGTGTCTCTGTGTGTGTGGTGTCTCTGTGTGTGTGGTGTCTCTGTGTCTGTGGTGTCTCTGTGTGTGTGGTGTCTCTGTGTCTGTGGTGTCTCTGTGTGTGTGGTGTCTCTGTGTGTGTGGTGTCTCTGTGTCTGTGGTGTCTCTGTGTGTGTGGTGTCTCTGTGTGTGTGGTGTATCTGTGTGTGTGGTGTCTCTGTGTGTGTGGTGTCTCTGTGTGTGTGGTGTCTCTGTGTGTGGTGTCTCTGTGTGTGTGGTGTCTCTGTGTGTGGTGTCTCTGTGTGTGTGGTGTCTGTGTGTGTGTGGTGTCTCTGTGTGTATGGTGTCTCTGTGTGTGCGGTGTCTCTGTGTGTGCGGTGTCTCTGTGTGTGCGGTGTCTCTGTGTGTGTGGTGTCTCTGTGTGTGCGGTGTCTCTGTGTGTGCGGTGTCTCTGTGTGTGCGGTGTCTCTGTGTACGTGGTGTCTCTGTGTATGTGGTGTCTCTGTGTGTGCGGTGTCTGTGTGTGCGTGGTGTCTCTGTGTGTGTGGTGTCTCTGAGTGTGCAGTGTCTCTGTGTGCGTGGTGTCTCTGTGTGTGTGGTGTCTCTGTGTGCGTGGTGTTCCTGTGTGTGTGGTGTCTCTGTGTGTGTGGTGTCTGTGAGTGTGTGGTGTCTATGTGCGTCTGTGTGTGGTGTCTCTGTGTGTGTGGTGTCTCTGTGTGTGCGGTGTCTCTGTGTGCGTGGTGTTCCTGTGTGTTTGGTGTCTCTGTGTGTGTGGTGTCTGTGAGTGTGTGGTGTCTATGTGCGTCTATGTGTGGTGTCTCTGTGTGTGCGGTGTCTCTGTGTGTGTGGTGTCTCTGTGTGTGCGGTGTCTCTCTGTGTGTGTGTGGTGTCTCTCTGTGTGTGGTGTCTCTGTGTGTGTGGTGTCTCTGTGTGTGTGGTGTCTCTGTGTGTGTGGTGTCTCTGTGTGTGTGGTGTCTCTGTGTGTGCGGTGTCTCTGTGTGCGTGGTGTCTCTGTGTGTGTGGAGTCTGTGTGTGTGTGGTGTCTCTGTGTGTGTGGTGTCTCTGTGTGTGTGGTGTCTCTGTGTGTGTGGTGTCTCTGTGTGTGTGGTGTCTCTGTGTCTGTGTGTGTGGTGTCTCTGTGTCTGTGTGTGTGGTGTCTCTGTGTGCGTGGTATCTGTGTGTGTGTGGTGTCTCTGTGTGTGTGGTGTCTCTGTGTCTGTGGTGTCTCTGTGTGTGCGGTGTCTCTGTGTGTGCGGTGTCTCTGTGTGTGTGGTGTCTCTTGTGTGCGTGGTGTCTCTGTGTGCGTGGTGTCTCTGTGTGTGTGGTGTCTCTGTGTGTGTGTGCGGTGTCTCTGTGTGTGTGGTGTCTTTGTGTGTGTGGTGTCTCAGCTTGTGGTGTCTCTGTGTCTCAGCGTCTCCATGTCTCTGCACGTGGTGCCTGTGCGCGTTGTGTCTCCGTGTCTCCGTGTGTCTCCGTGTAGGTTTCACGGGGACACGTCTCTGCAGGAGCGGCTGTGTGTTGAGAGCTGCGAGCGTCTGCGTGCGTACCACAAGCGTGCGTGCGCCTACCTGCCCTCCCGTGAGTCTCTCCTCCGTACCTGCAGGCGCGAACCTGCGCCCGTGAGCGTGTGTACCTGTGCGCACGCCTGTGTACGTGCGGCTAGCGCTCACGGCCACCAACACCACCGGTGACGATTCTCTGAACCGGTCCTGGGCCTCCACTCGATCTACTCCGCCTCAAATGAGTCACCTGGTGCGGTGTGCAGTAAACATCGCCACTGGGGAGACAAAGGCGGCCGGGCGTGGTGCTGGCCACCCACCATCCTCGTGTGCCGTGCCGGCCTTCATAGGTGCTTCTCGCTAACAGCACTTGCCCCTACACTATTTTGAGGCTATATCGGGGGGGGGGGATCTTTGTGTGTGTGTGTGGGGAGCGGCGGCGCAGCGGTTAGCGCCACGCTGCGCTACGAACCCGGCGACCCGAATTTGATTCCCGCTCACGGCCACCACCGGCGACGATTATCCGACCCGGTCGCGGGCTTCCCTGGGTGCGGCAAATGCCGGCCGTGTCGTACACGCCCCAACCGGTCCGTCAAGGCTGTGCGGGGGGTCCGGGGGGTGGGTGGTGGACCTTTGTCTCTGCAGCGGAGGCGCGGGGCGACGTGGCCTCCCCTAGCTGGCGCCCCCTCCCGGAGCTCCTCGAGGAGCTCGCCAACTCGGCCGCCTCCCGGCGCAGCAAGAACGTCCACGTGCTGCAGGCGGCCGCGCAGGTGAGGGCCGCACCGTGCCCCCTCGCCGCCCCCCTCGCCTGCCCCTCGCCTCGCCACTCCTCGGTGCCGCACCTCCGATGAGCACGGTTGGCCTACGTACGGTGCGGAAGAAGTTCAACGCGCATACTTGCCCCTCGCGAATGCGCGCGCGTGTGTGCTTGTGTGTGTGTGCGTGCGTGTGTGTGCTTGTGTGTGTGTGTGCGTGTGTGTGCGTGTGTGCGTGCGCACATGCGTGTGTGCGTACGCGCACACATGCGCACACGCACGCAATAGTGTAGCGGTTAGCGCGCTGCGCTATGAACCTGGCGACCCGGGTTCGATTCCCGCTCACGGCCAACACCGGTCACGATTATGTGAACCGGTCCTGGGCCTCCACTAGGCCTCAAACGAGTACCTAGCACGATGTGCATTAAACATCTCCACTAGGGAGACAAAGGCGGCCGGGCAAGGTGCTGGCCACCCACCCCCTCGCGCGTCGTTCAGGCCTTCATAGGTGCTCGCTTAACAGCACTTGTCCCAACAGTCTGTTGAGGCTATACGGGGGATCTTTGTCTTTGTTTTTTTTTGTACTTGCGTGCGTTCTCGTGTGTACGTGTGTACGTGCGTGTGTACCTGCGTGCATCCTCGTGTGTACGTGTGTACGTGTGTACGTGCGTGTGTACTTGCGTGCGTCCTCGTGTGTACATGCGTGTGTACCTGCGTGCGTGCGAGCGAGCAGGTGTGCCAGCGCCTGCGGGGCGTGCGCGTGACGAGCTGCAAGAGCGCCAAGGACCGCACGGCCATGTCGGTGACGCTGGAGCAATGCGCCCTGCTCAGGGACCGCCACGGCCTCCCGGCCTCCGTCTTCTCAGCGGCCCTCAACTGCATGCGCAGGTGGGCGGTGCGGGGTCGGGGGGGGTGACTTGCGGCGGCTGTGTAAACTCTTAAACGCTCTTGTTAGTTTACAGGGTGAAGGCCATCGAGCTCTGTAGCTCTGTTGTTTCCAGAAGCGACCTGGCCACAAATGTTGGCGACGTGGCTCAGTGTGGATGTTCACGGCAGGCAAATGATTCAGAAACGCGCGACGTCGATTCTAGATGTGTGTGGAGGGCAAAAACTGTAGGATGCGGAGATAAATCCACGCGACCACGCGGAGAGAGAGAGAGAGACGCAAACTCTAAATATACAGCAGCAGGTGTCAGGGTCGGGATCGAACCCACGACCTCCTGTATACCCAGCGAGGTAGTTAACATCTCACCACGGAGAGAGAGAGACACGCAAACTCCAAATATACAGCAGCAGGTGTCAGGGTCGGGATCGAACCCACGACCTCCTGTAGACCAGGCGAGGTAGTTAACATCTCACCACAAAGAGAGAGAGAGACACGCAAACTCCAAATATACATCAGCAGGCGTCAGGGTCGTGATCGAACCCACGACCTCCTGTAGACCAGGCGAGGTAGTCAACATCTCACCACGGAGAGAGAGACACGCAAACTCTAAATATACAGCAGGCGTCAGGGTTGGGATCGAACCCACGACCTCCTGTAGACCAGGCGAGGGAGTTAACATCTCACCACGGAGAGAGAGACGCAAACTCTAAATATACAGCAGCAGGTGTCAGGGTCGGGATCGAACCCACGACCTCCTGTAGACCAGGCGAGGTAGTTAACATCTCCTAGCCACCGTGGTTATTGATGGGGGGGGGGGAGCGGTGGCGCAGCGGCTAGCACTGCGCTACGAACTCGGCTTCCCGAGCGACCAACAATATCTGAACCGTTCCTGGGCCTCCCCTGGGTCGACTCAGCCGCGCTGTGGATTTATCCGCACTGGGGAGACAAAGGCGGCCGGGCGCGGTGCTCGCCCTCCACCCCCCCCCCCCCCCCCCTTGTCGTGGGTGCGCCGTGCCGTGCCGGCCTTCGCAGGTGCCGCTCGCTAACGAAACTCCGTTGATGGCTCTGCCGGGGGTGGGGTGGACTTGTCGCATCTTTTGCCTTTGTGCAGTGAGGGCTGCCGGCTGGAGAACGCTGCCAAGAACGTCGGCTGTCGACGCTACGCGTTCCACACGCTGCAGCTGGCCACCTTCCCGCGCTTCTACCGGCCACCGGAGGGGACGTACGGGAAGGTGGACACGTGAAGCCGTGGTGGGGGGGGGCGGCGGGGGGGGGGCGGGGGCGGTGAGAGCCGGCGGAAGGCCATCATCCGGCAGTGGGACAAACACGGCCGTTGATGGCGGAGCAGTCGACGGGCCGGCACGTTGCTATCGCGCACGCCCTGTCCGGGTCTAGCGTTGTCGCCTGCTGTGGAAGGGAACGTTTCAGAGCCCCATGGCAAGGCCACACACACCCCTGTCCGGGTCTAGCGTTGTCACCTGCTGTGGAAGGGAACGTTTCAGAGCCCCATGGCAAGGCCACACACACCCCTGTCCGGGTCTAGCGTTGTCGCCTGCTGTGGAAGGGAACGTTTCAGAGCCCCATGGCAAGGCCACACACACCCCTGTCCGGGTCTAGCGTTGTCGCCTGCTGTGGAAGGGAACGTTTCAGAGCCCCATGGCAAGGCCACACACACCCCTGTCCGGGTCTAGCGTTGTTGACTCCTGTGGAAGGGAACGTTTCAGAGCCCATGGCAAGGCCACACACACCGCCCCCACCCCCCCGTCTCACAACCTCCCCCGCCCCCCCGCTGGGCGGGAGTCAGCCGGTGAGAGAGCTGGAGAGATGATTGCCCCGCGAGTGATTTGCGGGTGACGTGATTGTACTATTGTGTCAAACGAGGAGAAAATGTCACAGGGTGTGCGTAACCCTCACTAACTCTACCCCTCACTAACCCTCACTAACTCTAACTCTCACTAACCCTCACTAACTCTAACTCTCACTAACTCTACCCCTCACTAACTCTACCCCTCACTAACTCTACCCCTAACTCTCACTAACTCTACCCCTAACCCTCACTAACTCTACCACTTACCCTGACCCACACTAACCCTATCACTTACCCTGACCCACACTAACCCTACCACTTACCCTGACCCACACTAACCCTACCACTAACCCTGACCCACACTAACCCTGACCCACACTAACCCTACCACTTACCCTGACCCACACTAACCCTACCACTAACCCTGACCCACACTAACCCTGACCCACACTAACCCTATCACTTACCCTGATCCACACTAACCCTACTACTTACCCTGACCCACACTAACCCTACCACTAACCCTGACCCACACTAACCCTACCACTAACTCTGACCCACACTAACCCTACCACTTACCCTGACCCACACTAACCCTACCAATTACCCTGACCCACACTAACCTTATCACTTACCCTGACCCATGCTAATCCTACCACTAACCCTACCACTAACCCTACCACTAACCCTACCACTAACCCTGACCCACACTAACCCTACCACTGACCCACACTAACCCTACCACTTACCCTATCACTTACCCTGACCCACACTAACCCTACCACTAACCCTACCACTTACCTTGACCCACACTAACCCTTCCAGTAACCCTGACCCACACTAACCATACCACTAACCCTGACCCACACTAACCCTTCCACTTACCCTGACCCACACTAACCCTACCACTTACCCTGACCCACACTAACCCTACCACTAACCCTGACCCACACTGACCCTACCACTAACTCTGACCCACACTGACCCTACCACTAACCCTACCACTTACCCTGACCCACACTAACCCTACCACTAACCCTACCACTTACCCTGACCCACACTAACCCTACCACTAACCCTGACCCACACTAACCCGACCACTAACCCTGACCCACACTAACCCTACCACTAACCCTACGACTAACCCTGACCCACGCTAACCCTACCACTAACCCAGACCCACACTAACCGTACCACTTACCCTGACCCACACTAACCCTACCACTAACCCTACCACTTACCTTGACCCACACTAACCCTACCACTAACCCTGACCCACGCTAACCTTACCACTAACCCTGACCCACACTAACCCTACCACTAACCCTGACCCACACTAACCCTACCACTAACCCTATCACTTACCCTGACCCACACTAACCCTATCACTAACCTTGACCCACACTAACCCTACCACTAACCCTATCACTTACCCTGACCCACACTAACCCTACCACTAACCCTGACCCACACTAACCCTACCACTTACCCTGACCCACACTAACCCTACCACTAACCCTGACCCACACTAACCCTACCACTAACCCTGACCCACACTAACCCTACCACTAACCCTGACCCACACTAACCCTACCACTAACCCTGACCCACACTAACCCTACCACTAACCCTGACCCACACTAACCCTACCACTAACCCTGACCCACACTAACCCTACCACTAACCCTGACCCACACCAACCCTACCACTTACCCTGACCCACACTAACCCTACCACTTACCCTGACCCACACTAACCCTGACCCACACTAACCCTACCACTAACCCTGACCCACACTAACCCTACCACTAACCCTGACCCACACTAACCCTACCACTAACCCTGACCCACACTAACCCTACCACTAACCCTAACCCACGCTAACCTTACCACTAACCCTGACCCACACTAACCCTACCACTAACCCTGACCCACACTAACCCTACCACTAACCCTGACCCACACTAACCCTACCACTAACCCTGACCCACGCTAACCTTACCACTAACCCTGACCCACACTAACCCTACCACCAACCCTGACCCACACTAGCCTTACCACTAACGCTACTGCACAGTACCCCAACCTACTCCGAACCCTACCCTACACTACCCCTACCCTACAGTACCCCATCCTACCCCACCCTACCCCTAACCCTACACTACCCCACCGTACCCCTAACCATACCCTACACTACCCCAACCTACTCCTAACCCTACCCTACACTACCCCCACCCTACCCATACACAGGCTCGGCGTTCACTCTGATTTGCTTTGGTAATTACCACTGACATCATCATCATCTCAATAAACAGATCTACCAACCCAGACTCTCCCGCCTCTCTCCCATCCCATACCCACCCCTGCACTCTCCTTTCAACAATAACAGTTTGTTATTTTTCGGGAAATACATTTCCATTTTACACATCCCATCAGACACACGGACGGCCCCTTCCCTCTTGCCGAGTGCATCACTATCGGCAGCGTCGGTGGGCTCGTGTGAGAGCTCTCACTCCTGTGAGCTGTCATTCATTTGAGCTCTCTCACTCAAACGTGTGAGCTCAACGCAGCACAAACACAAACTCCAGACCGGCTTCCACTCTCTGCAGTCCCATCAGCAGTCCGGGGGTGGGGGGGGGGGGGTGAAAGGTTGGAGGGATAGCGATGATCGTCCGCTGATAGATTGTTGGATGGGTGTGTGGGTGGATGCATTGGCAGTTGGGTGGATGGATCGGTGTGTGGGTGGATGGATCGGTGGGTGGGTGGATGGATCGGTGGGTGGGCGGATGGATCGGTGGGTGAGTGGATGGATCGGTGGGTGGGTGGATGGATCGGTGGGTTGGCGGATGGATCGGTGGGTGGGTGGATGGATCGGTGGGTGAGTGGATGGATTGGTGGATGGATCGGTGGGTGGGCGGATGGATCGGTGGGTGGATTGGTGGGTGAGTGGATGGATTGGTGGGTGAGTGGATGGATCCGTGGGTGGATTGGTGGGTGAGTGGATGGTTTGGTGGGTGAGTGGATGGATCCATGGGTGGGTGGATGGTTGGATCGGTGTGTGCATGGATCGTTTGGTGAGTGGATTGATCAGTGGGTGGATGGATCGGTGGGTGCATGGATCGTTTGGTGAGTGGATTGATCGGTGGGTGGATGGATCGTTTGGTGAGTGGTTGGATTGGTGGGTGGATGGATCGGTGGGTGCATGGATCGTTTTGTGTGGTGGTTGGATTGGTGGGTGGATGGAGCGGTAGGTGGGTGGATTGGTGGGTGAGTGGATGGGTGGGTGGGTGGTTGGATTGGTGGGTGGTTGGATTGGTGGGTGGTTGGATTGGTGGGTGGATCGCTCGGGTGGGTTACTGGGTTCACTGACAGGCATGATGACTGGCTCTTACGACACGACTAACGATGTGCAGTTATTACGCAACTGGTTAGGCAACTGTGGGAACTTGGGCGCCTTTCTCTCTCCCTTTGTGAGTGCGAGAATGTCATCCCCCTGGGTGCTGTGGTCGTGTCACGTTTGTCAAAATACAAAACTTAAACCTTTTGCAAGGAAGCATGTCTGCATTAATCACAAATACCACATTGTCTCTGAAACCGATTGCTCCACACCAGAGACCGCTTTCTTTACAGCCTTCAGAGCCTAGTCTCAAACAGTGTTAGACCAGAGGACAAACAGCACAAGGGCAATGCCGCTCTCAGGACAACTCCTTAACTGACTCTTGTTCGGGCAAGTGCCGGGAGCGAGTAGCGGCACCTATGAAGGCCGGCACGGCACACGAGTGGCGATGTTTGCACACACACTGCACCCAGGTACTCGTTTGAGGCTGAGTCGACCTAGGTGAGGCCCAGGACCGGTTGGGATATTCGTTATTGGTGTCCGCCGTGAGCGCAGCGCGCTAACCGCTGCGCCACCACTCGACACAATTTGATTTGTCTCCGCATGTTACATTTATTTTACACATCCTATCAGCTGCACTGCATTCTGGGAGTGCATCGTATCAACAGCAATGGTTTTGACATTTCAGCGTCTCGTCAGCAGAGCCGGGCTTGCATGAACCGATGCTGGTGACCTGCCCGATGTTTACAGACGGGAACCGGTTTTGACATTCAATGTTTCATCAGCAGACGGATATTTAATTGGAAAATAAAACGGGTAAAAAACAAGTTTTTATTTGCACTCAAAAGTAGAACATGCAATCATTTGACCCCAGAATTAATCAAATTTTATGTGTTCTGTAAACGTGGGTGGCTTGCATGAAGACAATCAACCCCCCCCCCCACACACACACAAACCACATGCCCGGTGATTCTGATTCCAAGGTTGCAGTTGACCGTAGGGGTTTGGCAGTCATCTTCATCTCCAGCAATGGAATCGATTCTCCTGGGATCGATTCCACGTGACAATGAGGAGGGGATCAGGAGTAGGGGTGAGGTGGGGGCGGGAGGTGGCCGTTGGGGTC